TCGTGCACATTCACATGATGTAGGCTATTCACAGATAATGCCTCGGAGTGGAAAAGGACTAAATCCTCTAGATCCACAAAGTGTACACTGCAGATGTAGACTAATAATTTACAGATCAAGCTAAATTTAGGCTACATTACATTACACAGCTTAAATTATATTCTATTTGTTCAGTGGAGCGAATGTAAACTCCAGACAAGCTAAAAACCTCCACTCAGTCTTATACCGGAAAATTACACTTCCCAAAAAAATGGAGCATCAACTTCGAACACATCTGGCATCCTTCGGAGCTGCACGGTTGATGTGTACTCAGGACTTTGGCTTGAGCGAACACACAAGTTGGCTCTTCACCGAACAACTGATTCAACTAGAAGATTAGAAACCTCTTAGCAGCAGCAAGCGTGGACTCACTGTGTGACATTAGATGTTTAATCTTTTACCCCACAGAAACACATCAGCTTCAATGAAGTCCAGTTAGAAAATAGATGAACTCAAATAAAACCGCTCAGTAGAGCCGAACTGTTAAGGTGCACTCATATAATCATACAGACAGAATGTGGAACACAGTCCTCTCCGTACAGTAACCGAGACTCTGCTCACAACCTGAAAGGAGAAAAAGGATGTATATATTCAAACTAGCTTATTAAAACTAGCATTGCATTCACTTCATCCCAACCCAGCACTTCTACTGACAGACTACTCGACAAAAAGCTGAATTTCTCGAATTTCTCAATAAGCATTATAACGCAAAGAATAACGCTTTTAATCACAATTAACGACCACAATCACGATGTCCTTCACCTGCAATACGCACCGATCAGGCATAACATTCTGACCACCTCCTTGTTTCTGCGCTCATTGTCCATTTTATCAGCTCCACTTACTATATAGGTGCACTTTGTAGTTCTACAGTTACAGACTGTAGTCCATCTGTTTCTCTGATACTTTGTTAGCCCCCTTTTACCCTGTTCTTCAGTGGTCAGGACCCCCATGGACCCTCACAGAGCAGGTAGTATTTGGGTGGTGGATCATTCAACACTGATGTGGTGGTGGTGTGTTAGTGTGTGTTGTGCTGGTCTGAGTGGATCAGACACAGCAGTGCTGCTGGAGTTTTTAAACACCTCAATGTCACTGCTGGACTGAGAATAGTCCAACAACCAAAAACATCCAGCCAACAGCGTCCTGTGGGCAGCGTTCTGTGACCACTGATGAAGGACTAGAGGATGACCAACACAAACTGTGCAGCAGCAGATGAGCTATCGTCTCTGACTTTACATCTACAAGGTGGACCGACAAGCTAGGAGTGTCTAATAGAGTGGACAGTGAGTGGACACAGTGTTTAAAAACTCCAGCAGCACTGCTGTGTCTGATCCACTCATACCAGCACAACACACACTAACACACCACCACCACGTCAGTGTTACTGCAGTGCTGAGAATGATCCACCACCCAAATAGTACCTGCTCTGTGAGGGTCCATGGGGGTCCTGACCACTGAAGAACAGGGTAAAAGGGGGCTAACAAAGTATCAGAGAAACAGATGGACTACAGTCTGTAACTGTAGAACTACAAAGTGCACCTATATAGTAAGTGGAGCTGATAAAATGGACAATGAGTGTAGAAACAAGGAGGTGGTCAGAACGTTATGCCTGGTCGGTGTATCTATGCCAATATTTACTCTTGCAAATTCTCACCCACCAGTTGAATCTCCCCATTATATGAAGACAGCCAGGTGCTTCCGCCAGCACAAATGCACACATGTAGACAATCACTAGCTTTCAGTCAAAGAGGACCAGATTCCTGGAGGGGAGCACTGACTGGCCACTGTACTGTACACAAGATCAGAGCAGTTCTTACTTTGCAATGTTGCAGTCCTGGATTTTGTCATGTGATAAGAGTCTACATTTTTAAGTACATTCTGAATAATTCGTTCAATGGTTAAAACAAACCTCAGAGATGGCTGTGATTACCACAGTCGGAGATGAAGACCAACCGTGATCAGCGCAGTCTGACACTCTGCTTTACTCTGATGAATACGACACACATTCCCGCTGATAAGTGACCAAACGGTTGTAATTCATATTGAGAACCTGATCAATAATGTAGGAGATCTCTGTACTCTCTGTAGGAGGTTCTACTGCAGCCGCTTAAATCTGTCTGCTATGTTCTGAGGAACAGAGATATATCAGTCATACAGGCAGAACCACAGCAACAAGCTAGTTCAAGTGAACAAACTGGAGGCACGAAGGAAGGAAGGGTTTCAGAGTGTGAGCAAACAGAGGGAACGGGGTGAAGTGCTGGGTGTGGTGGGATGGAATGCATTTAGCAGGACTGATTGTAGGTACACTGTCAATTTGGCATGTCACCCAAACCCGAGCTACTTCACCATGGACAAAAAAATAAACCCTCCTGGTAAAATTGTTGAAACAGTAACAGTGCAGGGCAGTGTACTGACCACACAACAACACTGTTTTTTCAGTTTCACCGGTATTAATATAAATATAATTACCGAATATAAACTACAATGTGTGCTAAAACTTTATTAAAAACTGGAAATCTGGATTCGGTCTGGTTATTGTTTTGAACAGAGAGGCACGATCAGAATCGGTCAAGACTGTAATCAGAATATTTTTGTTCCAAAAACTAAAATCAGCCAATTTATTCTTCTTATTTTGGTAATGTGTTGATTTTATGATGTAAACAACATAAGCTGAGAAAGCACATCCACCCTCTATTAAAATGCTGCTACTACATCTGTACCAAAAGGTCACAGCATAACTATGCAAGACTCATTTTGCTAAGTAGTCGATTGCCTCTTACTTTCAATGTAGCGCTTTATTTCATTTTATTTAAACAGGCAACCAGTTTTTCATTTATGGATTTAAAATGCCAGATGAGTGGAAATTATGTTATTTATATTGCTTTTGCCAACAGAAAGTATTAAAATATGCCAGTGTGTTTCATGTGTTGGCTTAGCCGACACAGCTTGAGCTATATATATATATAAGTACATATACATATATATATAATTATTTTTATTTTGGCCAATCTGTGCTGCCATTTCATGATGTAAATAAACTCACACTCACACTCCACACACACACACACACACACTCACACACATGTAACAAGCAAGCGGGCAGATGGATCCGAGTCATCTGAAAATGCCTTGTCGCCATGGCAACCTCACACGAGTCATTCTCTTTTTCAGGGGGAAGAAACAGGAAAAGGGGCCGGCTGAATTTGTCTGCCCTTCCATCTGTCTGGCGAGCTGCCTCCACGCTCGAGGACTGACCATCGGACGGTGGGTTTAGTCTGAGCAAATTCCTTGTGGAGGAGGGTGGGCTGGTGGGACAGCACGGAAATCCACCATCTGCTGACTACCGTCTGGTTGACAAGGTGAAGGGAGGGAAGGGGGGGGTTCTGACCTCAAGACCACAATAAGACCAGACAGTTAATTATCCCAAGATAACGGAAAAGCAATCGCACCGTCGCCTCCCGACACAGCGCGATTCTTTGTTTTCGCCTGTACAGCAGTGAATCACAGCACACTGACCGCTGACGATCTCAGCTCTCTTAAAATACTGCGCTTAGTCCAGAATTCTTAAAAAGGCACGAGAAAATTCAACCTGGATGTCTCTCAGGAGCAAAAACGGTCACTGCATTCAAAAGTGGGCCAACTGTGGTTTAAGAGGCCACAAAGCCAGTCTGTGCCCTTGACTGTTCCTCTACAGAGAAAAGCCTGCAGAGGTGAAGCAGAGGAGCAACAGAGAGTGGGGGGGGATCATGACATCTGTGGGTGACCAGAGGGATCCAGATGTGGGATCTAGAACATTCTTTAGGCTAAAGAAAAAAAAACAAAGCAGTGCCGCACGGCGAACCCTCGGCGCCGCATGTCCAATAAATGTAGTGTTTCTTTATTCTTTCACCACATAATTTAAGAAGCGTCTCATGGTGTGTTTACAGAAGGCAAACCCAATATTCCCAGATACGCGTCAATCAGAAGGGGAACCTCAGACAACTATTATGGGATTTAACACACAGGAATATTCTACTCCTGCAGATTCGCTATTTTGAGGGTGGAAAACATGAGACTTAATGAAAGTTTGTCTGACCTCCCATTAACACTGTGTGTGTGTGTGTGTGTGTGTGAGCCCTGTGCTTCTTTCTGTTTTACAGCTGGGCATAAAAGCGGACGACCCAGCCCGGAGGAAAACAGATGTTCTGGTTTTGAGAAGCCGTGCTCCTGTCACTGGGCACTGGGTCAGACACACAGAGACAGGAACCACTGGGAACAGAGCTAAAGCTCCAGTCCTGCACAAAAAGAGGAACAACGGAGGAAAGAGTTCAGCAGAACTTCACTGTTAAACACACTGGGGTGGGGGGGGTGGTGACCACTCACACCACCCACCACCCAGCACTGCTAACGCAGGAGTAAAGCTATAATGGAGGAATTCACTTCCAGCACCGTTTAAAAAGGTTTTTCGTACATTTGACTCTATTTCAAGTCGACATCAAAGGTCAAACAAAGTGGGCTTTCTAGCTGAGCGGGCTGCAGGACTACAACTCTACAGCTAAACTGTGTGTATAACACAAAGAACCCCAAACAGGACCAAAATAGTACTCGGAGAACGGTACACCCCTCAGAATCCGCCCAAACCGAACCACCGCGCACGGCTAACCAGCACAAAAGACTCTGGAACTCGGCTCTGCCTTTTCACCCCTTCGTGGCTGTTTCTACCCCGCGGCTGCCTTCAGGACGAAGCCCACCCTCTCAGCGGCGGCTCTAAAGGGTCTTTGCTATGATGATGTTCTCGGTTTGGCGGAAAACTGCACCGTTTCCACAAGTTTAGCAGGCCAGCATTCCCACAACGAGCCGCTCGCAGCAGCTCCGTGCCGTGTTGAATGCTCGGCAGCGCGGCGGGGGGAGTCGCTCTGCCCGCCTTTCCCAACAACACACCGAGCCTCCGTGGAAGTGACTGCATTACAGACGCGCCATACCTGGAAAAACGGACCAGCGGTGGAGGGACGGTGCGGAAAATCGCCTCTCTCGGCCGTTCAGCTGTCCTCCTTTCCGCCGAGCCCACAGTTCCCGAGTTCGGCGCTGTCGCTTCCCTACAGGAATTTTTTTCCAGCGACAGAGCGTTGCTGTTGGAAGCCCAGGGGGCGGGGCTTCGCGCTGTGGGCGGGGCCTCTACTGTATTCAAACTGGAATGGTGGCGGGTTTTACTTGTGAATTTATTACAGCCAAGCTTAAACTTATTTACTGCGCGCACAAAGGACAGGAAAGAGGATCTTATTGGCTCCACTGCAAAAAATAATGGTCTACCTTTAGTTTTTGCGTATTTTGAATAAACAATGGTCAGTTCAGGTTACAGCACAACATTAATTAAAAACAAAATAAAAAGAGATTTTTAATATGGCCGTTTTACTGGTTGAGTTTGACACCCCGATCTGGAGTGTGATAAATTCTCTGATTAGTCAAACCCTCACTAACACTTAACAGCCATGGGTTCCTCTAAACATCTGCCTGAGGCCAAAAAGGCAAAGCAAAGCCCCCATATGGTAACAGAGCACCTCCAGGAACGTTTAGCTGATACATTAGTGGTGGTGCACAATTCTACTGTGCAGCATTGCTTGCACAAGCATGATCTGCTTGGAACAGTCATCAGAACTTACCTGTGACTTCATCACAAAAGTCAATGTCTGAAATGTACAAACAACATCTAGAGAAGCCAGAGGTGTTCTGGAAAGTGCTGTGGACTGATGAGGTACAAATCTAACTCTTGGCCACATTGCAGTGTGTTTGAAGAAAAAAGATTTTAATAAAAAGAACACCTTGCCAAATGTTAATCATGGGGGTGGATCATTTTGGGGTTTACAGGATTTCACTAAATATCAGTAAGTTCTGAGTACAAACATCACACAGTCAGTCAGGAAACTGAAGCTGAAAAGAAACTGGCTTCTACAACAGGACAATGATCCAAAACACACCTCAAAATTCACCATGAACTACGTCATGAAACACAACCTGAAACTTTGGGAATGGTTGAGGTATGTTGTGGAGTAATGGGGTACAGCTGGGTCAGGCTCGATCACTGTGGACCTCCTGTGACCCTTGTTTAAGTGGTCTCTAAGTACTGATGATATCCACGCAATGCATAGAAAAGCAAATTGTGACATATTGTGTTGTAACTTTTCACAATAATGATAAATGTTGCCATACTGCCCAGTTCTGTATACAATTTGAGAGCACAATATAATTATATAATATTATATAATTATGTAATGATATAATATAAAATTATATAATTATGGCCGATTTTGTTGCTTCTCCCAAAGCAAAAGCGAATCTTTACTCAGATCAGTGCTGTGGCAGTTTAAACAACATTGATTTCCCTAGGTTGATATTTTTAATAGTTCCTTTTATCACTGCATGCATATGAGCTGTATGGGTCTGTCTGAGAATAGACTGTTTTCAGACAACTGAATCAATATAGGCTATTACTGAGAAAAGTAATAACCTCATTTGTTGCATTTTGGTCCAAAATATGCTCCCCTGCCAGACTTCGTTAAAGAATATCAAGTTGTCAAAGTCACAGCAAGCGTGTAACAGCTGAAGCTGTGTCTCACTGTCTGATAAAGCCATGCTGAGATGGCCGTAAGGTCAGAACACAGTGGCAAACAACACATACAGTCAGATTCTTCCAGCACGAGCGTCATGTGCGCAGCAGATCCAGGTCTAAACGTTTGATGTAAGTAATCCTGACAGGTCCGGAGTGCCCCGAGAACAAACTATGCATGGAAGAAATAAGGCCACATATAATCTCTGGGTGCCTGTCCATTCTGGGGTTTGGCGAAAATCAGGCCCTTCTGGTTGGAAGGCCCGGTGGAGGGAGCGCTGCAGGTAATTGGAAGCAGGGAAAGAACCATAGCAGTGTCTGCCAATGAGATATTGGATTAATTTAGCAGGAGTCTGCCTGCATGTGGAGCATGTCTCAGCTCAGCGTCGTCAGGGGAAATCGGAAGGCATGATGCAAGAATTTCATCAGTGGACGTGTCCTTCACACCATGCAGAACTCAAGCGGTTTACGTACTCTGCGCTTCGTGTTGACTGTTCATAGTGCGTGATAAATCATCCTTTTTGTGTTTATTGTATTTATTGTGTTCACATCTTTACAAACGAACATCCCAGAGCAAGGAATTTGAACATCAAACAGTAGAAATGTGCGGATAATGAGACCTGAGCATATCCATATTATTCAGATAGAAGTTGTATGTAAAAGTTTGGACACCTCTGGCCAAATTACATATTTTGTTTATTTTTGAAGTGAACAAAAGTAAACAAAACTTCTGTAGCAAACTATTTAAAAAAATCTGCAAATGCACAGCCACTTTATATATGATTAGCATAAAAGATAATTGTGGTATGTGAAAATGTGTGGGCATCCTTTCAGGTGTAAAGTCTCTTAATTAACTTTTTAGGTCTCTATTGATTCATTAAGAATCGTTAGGCAGGTCAAAAATTGTCATTAACAATTGTCAGCTGATTTGCGTTCTAGAGCCCTTGTGTCAAACACAAGGCCTGCAGGCCAGATCAGGCCCGCCACACATATTATTAGCCTGTTTCACAGTGTGTTGCACTACAGTCCCCAGCATGCACTGCAACGTAATGTGCTCCGACTGTCCTACCCCCATCACCAAATGCATTTCAGCTGCAGTTCAACCAACATAAACACCCAACTCATCTCAGCAGCTCAGAAACTGAGCCCAAGTCTTAGTGAACCTGCAGCAAAGAAAAGATGCCAGGTGTCTAAATCAAGCAGATAGGTAGGTTTGAAAGACTGAGCTCCTGAGGACGTTTACATTATGAATATTTCAGATGTCCATATAATATTTCAAGGTCTATTATAAGTGTCTGTATTTGCTGTTGAAGTTTTGCATATTTTGAATAAACAATGGTCAGTTCAGGTTACAGCACAACATTAATTAAAAACAAAATAAAAACGCTTATTTCTCTGGCTCACAGATTTGTTGAGATTTTTAATATGGCCGTTTTACTGGTTGAGTTTGACACCCCGATCTGGAGTGTGATAAATTCTCTGATTAGTCAAACCCTCACTAACATTTAACAGCCATGGGTTCCTCTAAACATCTGCCTGAGGCCAAAAAGGCAAAGCAAAGCCCCCATATGGTAACAGAGCACCTCCAGGAACCTTTAGCTGATACATTAGTGGTGGTGCACAATTCTACTGTGCAGCATTGCTTGCACAAGCATGATCTGCTTGGAACAGTCATCAGAACTTACCTGTGACTTCATCACAAAAGTCAATGTCTGAAATGTACAAACAACATCTAGAGAAGCCAGAGGTGTTCTGGAAAGTGCTGTGGACTGATGAAGTACAAATCTAACTCTTTGGCCACATTGCAGTGTGTTTGAAGAAAAAAGATTTTAATAAAAAGAACACCTTGCCAAATGTTAATAATGGGGGTGGATCATTTTGGGGTTTACAGGATTTCACTAACTATCAGTAAGTTCTGAGTACAAACATCACACAGTCAGTCAGGAAACTGAAGCTGAAAAGAAACTGGCTTCTACAACAGGACAATGATCCAAAACACACCTCAAAATTCACCATGAACTACATCATGAAACACAACCTGAAACTTTGGGAATGGTCCTCACAGCCCCTGACTTGACCATGATAGAGATTCTGTGGGTAGGTGGTTCAAGAATATTGCTGAGCTAGAAGAGTGAAAACTCCTAAAACAAGACGAGACATTCAGCCTACAAGACGTGTTTTATATATAAATATATATATATATATATATATGTATATATATATATATGTATTTCTCTCATATAAACAGGCTATAAAATAAATGGGCTGTAAAACAATAACAATAGTTATCGCGATATAGATTATCAGTAGATCCTCAATAGGAATATTAAAAAAGTTCGACAGATGATCAATATAATAGACCATTCTTACACTTACGCATTGTAGCGACAGCCCTGGTGGCATTTTCCACTGCAAGAAAAGTGACACTACTCTGTTGTCGCCACAAGAGGGTGCAGTTCCAAGTTTTTTTTTATTTGACCAGTAAGGAGATGTTGGCTAAAAGACTGGTGATCTGTCCTCCTGTGACATGATAAGTGGCATGTAACTGTACTGGCCTTTAGCTACAGCACTGATTTAAACGAAAGTCAGCTGAGATACTGAATGTGTAGCACGCGAGAGTGGGAGAACATGAGCTTCCTAGGCTAACTGTTCTTAGCAGCTGGCTAACGTGAAGCAGCGCAGATAGCCTAGCACTCGTCACCAAACAGCTAAAAATAATCTGTTTTCTTTCTAAATGATTAACGTTACAACAATCATGGCCATGCTGTGCATGTGAGACTGAGCCCCAGTGCACAAAGCAGCTCCATAAAGGCCTGGCTGGGTGAGTTTGGTGTGGAAGAGCTTGACTGACCCTCACAGAGCCCTGACCTCAACCCCATCAAACACCTTTGGGATGAACTAGAACGGAGATTGTGAGCCAGACCCTCTCGTCCAACATCAGTGTCTGACCTCACAAATGCTCTTCTGGATGAATGGGCACAAATTCCCACAGACTCTCTCCAACATCCTGTAGAAGCTTCCCAGAAGAGTGGAAGCTGTTAGAGCTGCAAAGGGGGACCAGCTCCATATTAACGCCTATGGATTTAGAATAGGATGTGTAGGTGTCCCAATACTTTTGTCCATAAAGCGTATGTATTTATGTACATGTATTGATATTTATGTATTGATATTAGGGCTGGCCCGATAATAAGAATAATTATCATGATAAAACTTCCTTATCTGATAAATGTGCTGTTTGGTAGTCATTGCTTGGATGAAATTGTTGGATGAAGTGATGAAAATGGCACTAACACTGTTCGAAAGTTTAAAATCACTTAATAATTTATTCATAATTGTTGTTATTTTATTCAAAAATAACTTTTTGCGAATTAATTATCTGTCTGTATCTGGGATAGTGGGACATCTGTCTTGAGATTTTTCAAATACAATGCACTCTGGGCAGAAAACAGGAAACACCACGGACAGATCGCCAGCCCGATATGATATAATATAATATAATATAATATAACATAATGTAATATAATATA